TTTCTTTTTAAAATGTTACCATAATCTATGAATTTCACAATCAGGAAATTCTTTTCTAGTTAAAATCAATCTATGCATTATTTTTGTTTTTAAGTCAATTGTATAAGGAAATGTAAAATATTTGTTGACAGTCTACAGCTGAGAATTAAAGTTCAAAATTCTATGTACACTCATCACAGGCATGAATGCCATGGAAATTTTGGGCTTTCAATGACCTTCGCAGTGGGTTCACGGCTTAGAATTTATTTATTGCAGAGGGTCAAATATATACTTAAATCCCAGTAATATTTGGTTTAATGTCCCTTTGCAAGTTGCAACTTGATCAGATGCCATCGACAAGCTTTTGACACAATGCTGGTTGGATATCTGACTACACGTTTTGGGAAAAATTAACGCAGTTCATTTAAATTGGTTGGTTTGGTGGCATAGGAATATTCAATAGGATTGAGGTTGGGGCTTTTGGACAGCCATTTCAAAGGCATTTTCTAACAACTGCAAGATTATCCGTTGGACACAACTGGACATAAGTAAATGTTTGTTTGGGTCTTCTTGTAGACTTTGGAAAACTGTCATCCTCAGATGAGAGGAAATTGGTTTGCATATTGAGGAAGCTTTTCATAGCCATGGGCTGAGGGTTGCCGTCCAGGAAGGAAGACTCTACTCCAAAATCAACAATTTGCAATTTCCCACATAGACAGACAAATGCCTTCTCGAGAAATGTTTTATATTCAGACAGGACAAAGATTGACCTATTTGGAAACAATGATAGGAGGGTTTCAGACCTAAGAACACTGTACTTACTGTCAAGCATGGAGGTGGTAGGATTATGCCCTCGGACTGTTTTGCTTTGCACAGAGTGGATGGAATAATGGAGGACTACCTTCCAATTCTTCAACTTTGCTTGAAATTAACAGAGGGGTGGTTGAAACTTGTACATAACTGGGACATTCCAACACATCAATGATTCCAAACGCATGTCAAAACTGGTTTCTGGAATCATCTTCCCAAGGCCCCGACCTCAACCTTTTTCAACATTTGCGTCCTATACTTACAAATTGGGGTCCAGGCCTCCAATTTAATTGAGTGCAGCCAAGGAGAGTGCTCAGATATCCAGCCAGAATTGTGTCAGAAACTTGATGCTTAGCAAAAGCCTTTGGTCAAACTTAATATTTGTGTGGATGTATGCATATTACCAAATCTATGTATAATGTTGAATGGACTGTACTTTTATAGCACTTTTCTACTCTCTACTCGATTTCTGCTACATGCTTCATTCACCCATTCACACATTTATACCAGCACTTCCTTTTAAGCCCGGATGTGTCCTTGAATTGACACATGCACTCACACAATGATTGATTGGGACAACCTAGGGTTTAGTATTTTGAAGTATACTTGGCCATGCAAGACTATGGGAGCCGGAGATCAAACCATCGACCTTCTGATTTGATTATCTACCTCCTGAGCCACAGCCACCCAATAATTGTGACTCTTTGTGGATTAGAAAAAATCCTAAATAAATTCAAACTTGTGCACTCAGTGCAGCATCTGTAAGAGTTGTTGAGTAGACGAAAGTGCACAGAGACGGCTGCTTGGATGGCTGATTTTGCTGGAGGAAAATGTTTGTTCATACAGTGAATGTAAAAAAAAAAAAAAAAACCCTCAAATTAATACTCTGGCTGTGTGAGGTCACATGTTTTAAGTTCTCAGCAGAGGTCAGAGGAGAGGTGTTGTTGAAGCACCGTACATCGTGTTCATTTCTTCCATTTGTCATATCTCAGCTTGCTGGAGCTGAAACTTTTAAAAAAATGTATATATATTTTGAGGCAGACACACAGCTGGGCTTCCTCTTCTGCAGAATAGTAAAGTGAGTGTCTGTGCACCAGGAAGCATGTGGTGAACTGTTCACTCTTTAACCAGCACAGCTTTAAAGTCCTGTGGGGTGGCGGTCTCCAGATCAGTCCCACCAAGGACAGTCCAAACTCCTCCGAACAGTTAAGTTGCTTTCATTTATGTTAAATGTGGGAAGTTGGTGCATTGAAGCTTTGATGAACTTTAAAAGTGTGATCACACTTAAGCTTCTGTTGCGGGGGTTTTTCTGTGAAAGACTCATTGGTTCAAATTTAAGCACCAAGAGAGAAGAGGAAAAACAGAATTGTTTTCATCAAGGTCAAGGTCAAGGTCAAATTTATTTATATAGCACATTTCCAACAGTCTATGCTGCACAAAGTGCTTAACAATAACAATAAAATTAAAAACAATAATGTAATACAATAATAACAATAGAAACAATAAAATAAAGGAATTGAAGCAATACTAATTAATTTAGATAAATCCAAAATGCTTGGGTCATAATGTGTTAAAAGCCAGAGCATAAAAGTGTGTCTTGAGTAAAGATTGAAATTGCTCAAGAGTTTGAGCAGATCTAATATTAAAGGGGAGACTATTCCAAAGTCTGGGACCTGCCACAGAGAAGGATCTATCACCACGAGATTTGAGGTTAGTCCGTGGAATGGACAACAGTAGTTTTGAACTAGATCTCGTGGGTTTTCCTGGAGCATAGGCAGAGAGGAGCTCAGACAAGTAGGGGGGGCTCGGGCGTTGAGTGACTTAAAAACAAAAAGTAAGAGTTTAAATTGGATCCTGTAGGGGACAGGGAGCCAGTGTAAAGAGGCTAAAATTGGGGTTATATGCTCTCTCCGTTTAGTACCGGTTAGCAGGCGAGCAGCAGCATTTTGAATCATCTGAAGGCGATGGATGGTGGCATGATCTAGGCCATAATACATCAACCGCAGCGCAGAGTCAAATTTTGCAATAATTTAGTCCTCTGTTTGTATTTGCTGCACAATCAACTGGCCTGACATACTTCATGCACAGACTCGATTATATAGAGAAGCTGTGACTGGTGCCCTGCTTTTTAATGCTTTAAAGTTTTAACTTTACTAAGTGTTTGGGAATTGAGCTGCTTTTGGATCCGCTACCTCCTCTCTGCGTTTCTATGCTGGCTTCAGTTTTAAGGCCCAGATGCTGTCATTTGAAATAATGCCACCTGTACACACACTAAGAGGTGGATCAGAGATTCAGTATGCTTTAGTAAAACAAAAGTCTTTGTTGGTGCATTTGTTGTTGGTGTAGTAGCAGTTGTTTGGTGATGATCTGCAGTTGTTGTTAAAACGTTCTGACTCGTTACCAGTTTACACCTCAGTACTTCTTGCGATAAATGGTACAATACATTGAAAACTCTAAGCAATGTTACTCAGCATGCTGGCTAGTGTCCCTTCATCTGTGCACTCGTGACAGTATTTAGTGAAGGTGTGACCGGGACTTCGTGCTGTTGTCAGGGAATTTCCCAGGCAGGCAGAATGTGGCAGCTGTTTTATAGCCCGACTGTGTGGCGTGGTTGGGATCATTAGCAATTGCTACATTCAGCTGTAAGTAGTACAGTCTTACTTTGCAGGCTGATACTGGTTTCCATATTTATGGTTTCACGTTGAACATTTTAGATTACGTTTCAGTTCCCCTTATGTTGTGTGAAACTGACACACTGTTTATTGTTTTTTTTTTTTCTTCTTTTATTTCCACCTAATGGAACCTAATGTCTTATTGTCCCTTTCGGTGACACTGGAACTGTCTCAGCCGCTTTTATCCTGCGTGGCTCACATCCATGGGTTCTGTATGTTGAGAGTTTTTCAGAACACATTCAGAAGCTGTTTAAATGGCCAAACTGTGATATTTATTTTTTTATTTTTTTATTTTATTTTTTGCTGCAGTAAGAAGGAGAAGAAAAGAAATTAAGAGAATTCCATTGAGTTCAGATTTTAAACTTCTATTTTAGTAAATAAAATCTTGGCCATGAGTACATTTCCATTTGATTCTCTCTCTCTCTCTCTCTCTCTCTCTCTCTCTCTCTCTTCGTTTGAAGCTTTGTAAAATCACATAAGATGCAGGAATACGTAGTAGGATTTAAGAGTGTAATAATGGACTGAAACAGAAGATGGCAGCATATATTACTGCATAATATTTATGCATACAAATAACCAAACATCAAGGCAAGCTGTGTAGCCACACAATGCACAATTGCATCAAACTGACATTGAGGTATGTCAATTTGTAGTGTTGCTCCATGGTGCAGCCACGACACTGTAGCAAAGTTTACACACTATGTCTACTTAATCCACGTCTGACTCTGCAAACCCATAATGTTTCCACACCACTGAAGTCGTTTTATCTCTCTTTTCAACCAACGGCATTCTTTCTTTAGCAGCCATTATCCTATTCTCTCTAAATAACTTCTACTTAGCTTTCCGAGCTTCCCTCGAGTCCTCTTTATTGTTGTGATGTGTGTTCGAAACGCAGAGAGGCGCGCTTGATTTGCCACACGGAGCAGCGCGAGAGTAAAGCACGAGGGAGGTGCTAATAATCGGCTCAGTCATTTTTAATGATCGTTGAAAGCCGAGATCGTAATTTAGATTAAAATTTGATTAATTGAGCAGCCCTACTTCCTTCATATTTTCTTTTCCTGATGGCTGCTCCTTGTAAAGTTGTAAACTGATTTGAATAGAACATGGGTGGCACATCTGTGAGGAGATCATATTAGCAATGCCTGCTTCCAATAGCAGGAAAAAAAAACTGTGTGAAACTATGTGTTTGGCCTGAGGTCTTGTCTCACAGGATTTTACTTGTTCATATGCGGACCTCATTATTTGAAACTTTGGCCATCTACAACAACAATGTCTACCAACGTAACAATATTTATGTAACAGGAAATGAAGAAAAGCTCAAGAAGTTCCGTTTAATAAACAGTGGATTGTTGTAAAATTCATAAGCAGACACCTACAAAATGGCTTCAGTTTGTTGATCTCTAAGTAGTGAAGTACTAGATTATTGCTTAAACTTGGTGTGAAGAAATGCTTCCCACTTACTACCAGCTGCCTGGTGTGTGATTGTTACTCATTTATGTATATATGTATGTATGTATGTGTTTGTATATGTATTCATAGGAACTGAAAAAGGACCCTAAAGAGGGCAGTCAAACAGCAGATGAGCCAAAGGAAGAGCAGCCTCAGAAGAGAGAGAAGGTGGGGAACGTGGCCGGCCTGGTCCAGAGAATAAGCACTCTTGGCATCCCGACCGGTGCCTTCCAGCCACCAGTGCCCGCAGCTTCAAAGAGTAAGGAGCCTGAGTTTGGTGTTTGAATGTTTGGAGGGAATGAGACTTTAAAGTGCTTGGTGTCCAGGACATGGACTTCTGGTAAAACTTGTTCATGTAGCATCTGGCAGGTTAAGAGAAGTTGATTCTTCCTTTTATTATTTCAGCTGTACGTTCCACATCTTCACCGTGTCTCGTTTCGCTCAGAGGTCTTTAACTGAATACAGATCTTTGTCTTCTGCATGTATCTATCTATTCTTCTGAGTGGAGAGCTCAAAGTGTCCATGTTACAGTAGAGCTGGGCGATATGAGATTTTTTCATATCACGATATGTTTTTTTCATTTCAGGCGATAACGATATCTATCACGATATAAGCCAAATAACTATATTTGTAAGATTTAAATGTGCCGTTGCTCACAAGTAAAATGTGAAATAATCAGCAGCTTGTTTTTATTTAAATATTTATTTCCCATAATAAGTTCAACAGGGTAGATGTACTTAAGGAACATGAGACTTTTTCAGATAAATAAAGGCAAATATTGCAAACTACACAAAAGGCAGCCGCTAAAGCGTTTAAGTTTCAAAATAGAACAAATGAAACAGACTACTAAATTGTCAATTCCACTTAGAAACAAAGTATTAATTCTAAAAATAAATCTTAGTTTGTTTTGCAGAAGAACAGACAAAACTGACTAACTTTTGTCAGTATCAAATAAACTGAGAACTAAAAGGAAATTCTCAATCTCTCCTTGTTGTATAGCTTAGTTTTTCAAACAGTTTTAACAGTTACTTTAGTCTGACAAAAGCCGAATGACGAATTAGCGCTTCCAGTCAGAGACTGAGGCTACGTCCACACGTACACAGGTATTTTTGAAAACGGAGATTTTCCGTTTTTGTTTTAAAAAATAATCCCGTCCACACATAAAGGCAGAAATGAAGGAAAACGCTGCTACGAACATGCCAAAGCAGCAGGTGGCGCTAGATTCCTAACCGTGCAGAAATGTTGGCCAATCAGAAGTCTAGAAGCCTCGGTGGGAAAAAGTAAACAAAGCTGGGGCATAGAAGCAGAACAGAGTCGTATGTGTGGAGGGACAGTAACTGTGTGTATATGTAAGCATTTAAACACTGCAGAGAGTAGAATTAACAGTAACAGTATTGTAGAAATTCATTTCACCAAAACAATAACGTGGCGCACAGTGTGACGCATGCACCAGTTTATTGTATTTCCAGACTTGCTTTCGGCACAATTTACAGTGCACGCTACTCTGTTTTTTGTCAGACATGAAATAGCCGAAATACCTTCACACTACGGAACTTCTTTGGCTCTTCCATTCGACAATCTCTCCGGCATTGGAACCATCATCTGTTTTCTCTTCGGTCACGCTCGGTTGATTTTTCTAGTCGGCACACTCATTTCTCGCTTCCCAAACAAACACACGTGCGGCTTGGCACTTGTGCTGTACGTAACAAGTCACGCGACGTGACGCTGATGGTTCGGCTCTGCGCTACTTAATTTGGATCGGCTGACCTTTTTTTTTTTTAAGAGGACAAGAGCGGCGAGGTCTATCGCGATAGCTTAATTTCTCTATCGAGTAAAAGTTATATCGCGATACATATCGTTATCGTTCTATCGCCCAGCTCTATGTTACAGGCAGGTAAAGGCAGCCTCAGAGCACTAAGAAGAGACTGCGTCGATGCATCCACCTGTTTAGGTCATTCTTTCAAAAAGGCCCTGAGACACTGATATTGAAAACCTTGAAGTAGTTTAAGTAAAGCTGAAATGCTTGTGCCAGCTGACCCATCAAGGTTTCATTTACTGAGTGGTGAATTAAAATGAATTAGAAACAAGCGTAGAGCTCAATCTATTTCCACTTTTTTGTTCTTAATCCGATTTTGATTTATTATAAATTGAAAAACTGTAATAGAAAATAAATCTGTATTCTTTGGATTCTTTTTGTGACAGAGGGTTGTTTATGTTGTTGGAGTTCATATTGTGCTGCTTGTAGTCCTTGTCCTGCTCTGCAACCACAGTGAACTCAGTGTAACGACATATGAGCCAGAGGGAGATGGCATGCATGGCCTAACTGAATTCAGTGTCCAACCACATCGAGCTACACAGAGCAGGCAGGGAGAGCACGAGGTCAGAAAGTAATGTGGTAGAGAATAGGATAGACCCACCTTCTGATTGAGTTGACTAGCTGAGTGTGCCATATCCTTTGGGTTCTCAGTTCTCAGTATGATCCTCCCCTTGTCACGCCTGGAGAAGATGGAGAAGGCTCCAGCTTTAAAAAATAAAACCCAGTGTGTGAGGTCACAGTTGCTACATTGTCTTTGATATACAGTCTTTGGGCTTTATAGTTTTGATACTTTTTGTGATGCCAAGAACACAAATTCATATGAGCTTGACTGATTTCTTTATCCGTGGTTGGTTGTTTATTAGCCAATATTGGCTGTTTGCTGAGCTGCATTTATAACATATAAATGATGTCACAAACACAGAAGACAGTTGGGCAAGAGTGTAAACAAGTAAATAAAAGCAGAACAAACAAATACAACCGTTATGAGGATAGTCTCATATAAAATATTGGCCAATGTACTGGACTATTTGAATCAATGATTACTTGGTATCTTAAAAGACAGTTAAATGTGTAATCATAAACGGTAATTTAAACTCTAAAATGTTGCATACTGTCAGTAAGTTGGTTAAACCATTCGTTTATTAAATAAAGGCTAATGCTACTAGCAGCACCTTTCTATTAGAAGTGATATTTTCTAGGAAAAAAATAAGAATTCTAAGGTTGATTAAAAACATTTCACTAAATGACCTATGTGAATATCCATATTCTTTGAATATTCTGCACAGCTCTGCTTGATCAATAGGGCGGGGCTACTTCATGCTGTATGATCACCTTGTAGAAGAGTTTCTTATGAGCGAGCTTTTCATTAAAGGCCATCCCACTGGCTGGATCCATGCCTTTGTTGCTTTCCTGCATCGCTTACTTTTACGTTGCAGACATGCAGGTTTACAAACAGCAAACGCAGGTCTGCTTTTTTTCTTCTTCTTCTCAGAGCCTAAGAAGAGACAGTGCAAGGTGCTATTTGACTATCAACCGCAGAACGAAGACGAGCTGGAGCTGAAAGTTGGAAACATCGTAGAGATCACTGAAGAGGTACTGTGAAAAACCAGGCCCCATTGTCAAAGGAGCTTGCAAAGAAAAGCGTCTGGACTTCTTTAAGTTACTTGAAGACGTTTCACCTCTCATCCGAGAAGCTTCTTCA